CGCTATCTTAATAATCACATCAATACGTTTTTGTCGAGTGGAAAACCTTGAATTCCACTGTTCAGTAAGAGTTCTATTTTTTTCAAACTGGTCTTCATATAAATATCAGAATGCATCCACTTCTTTATGGGTCTGTTGCAATTGTTTTTTTAATTCTTCTGCTTTATTCACTTGCTCTTCTAAATATTGCCAATTCCGTTCAATTCTGGCACAAAGTTCCATATTTTCTTTTTGAGCACTTTCCAAAAGCTTTTTAGTTCTGTCAAGCTCATCTGCTAGGTCAGTATAACTAGTGGTCTGAGTATTCATGGTAGTGCCGAGTTGGGTTTCCTGAACTAAACTTGAAAGATGTTCATAAAAAAGATTAGATGAGACGATTTGATTATAATGTGTTTGACAAAGTGAATGCGATTCTAAAGGGTAATTAGCAAGCTCAGGAATGTAAGTTTGAAAAAGTAAAAGTTTCTTAGTTGCTTTCGGGCCACTTGCATTTCAATACTTTCGTTCTTCCATTTCACAAGGGCTTAATCCAAAATCTTTATAACTCTCAACTAATTCTTCGAAAATGCAACTAAGATCCCGTGCTTTTTGTTTTTGGTAACTTTTAGACACTAAAAAAAAAATATTTAGTTCGTTTAGTTAACAAGATCCTTTATTGCAACTAACAAGTGCACCAAGAAATCTCCGATCTTAAGGTCTCACTTACTTTTTTCAAATCAGCTTATAACACGGGATTAATTAGGATGATCGAAAGTAGATGTTTTATACTAACTATTCGTATATTGTTTAGTAGCGAGTAATAGTATAAAATCTTGTGAAACCCTCAAGAGAAAAGGGCGTAAAAAGAGCGTGACATAGCCAATCAAATTTCATAGATCATTCTAGAACTCAGATTTTCAAATCTAGAACTCAATTTCAAATTTGGTATATTCCCGGACTGTAATAAAGCCATAAAAAAACATTAAAAGGGGAGAAGATAATTGCGAAACTAGCCATAAAATATAGGAGACCTATTGGATATGATGAACCTTGTTTATCCTATTATAACATAGTGAGATATCTTCTTAAGTCTGGTGAATTAGAACATGATCTTGCTAAAAAAAAAATTACTAATATGAATTGGAGTTCTGAAACTTTTAATATTTGAAGAATTCTTGTACAAAAAAATCAACCTGTTTTATATTGGTTAGAAGATGGTCCAGAACATTCATTTGTAAGAGAGGAATTAATGCTAATTAAGCATTGTGATTTGCTTTCAAGATGGGTACTTAATTAATATTCATCTTCATCTGCAATTAGCTCTTCTATTGTTTTACTAATTTCTTCTTCTGTTATAGGATGCTCTTCTTTAGATAAAGTATAGTAAAGGCTGTATAAATTTTCAATACTAGCAAGGAGTTTTTTCTTACCTTGATACCATTTCTGATATCTGCTCATTCTTCTTTTATAGGTATCCTCATTTAGAAATAACATTATAGCAGTTGATTTTACATATTCATCAGGATTATCCTCTCGACACAAATTTTTTATATATGTGACATATTTACTAACTAGCTTGCTATCTTTTTTGTAGCAAATACATATTGCCTCTCTTATTATCTTAAGTTGCACCTCCTTAATTCTTTTCAATGTAATATTACTCGCTAGGATATTTTCTGTCATTATATACTAACACTAAGTCTTTGCTGTATAATAAAATAGTTAGTTTAAATTGTAAATAAAAAAATTCTAAAAAAAAATATTATAATATTATATGAAATAGTTAAGCTCATCTTTTATAAACCCAAATCCATCAATATTTCTTGAGAAATATTATTCCTATATTGCTCCAATACAGATAAATAAGCCAGAATTCAACAATCCCCAATTGCCTATATTGTAACCTAGTTATTTATATCCATCTCTTGAAGTCAAATAAGTTGATACTTCTTTTTGTCTGGTAGATTATATATGAAATGAAACGTTCACATTGTAAGAAATTTGCAGTTCAGGGTTCATCCTCTACACCTTCTAAAATATAATGCTCATAAATATCAATAGTTAGTTCTTTTTTGAAAGAGATTTTTTGAGTCCTTTTGCCTTCTGTATATTTTTATACTCATCTTCAGTTTTCAATGCATAAGACTTTGATCAGTTTCTAGTATATCTTAATGCTCGAGTTCCTGCAAACTTATCTTTCCACTTCCTGATTGCTTTCTTAATTTTTAGCTTACATGTTCTATCAGGAAGAATTACCTATTGATCTGGCAGAAGCTTTTCTAGTAGTAGATGGTCTTCAAGATAATCACTAAAATCATAAAGGTCTGTATCCTCTACTATATCAGTATAGACATCCTTGGTCTCAATTTTGATAATTAATAAGTTCATATCAGTATAATATGGAGTCTTTGCCTTGAAAATCATATTATAGAACATATAATTTATTATGTTCCATAACATGATTTTTAAGGCAAAGACCCATATAATTTTGCACGATCTTCATACTTATACTTGATATGATTATACCAGAAATTATATATATAATATTTACTAAGATCTAAAATCGAAGCCCTGATATAGATTGGCTTGTTGAGTACAACATTCATTAGCCTCTGATAGACTGCTATAAGATTACTTCCATGAAATATTTTATGTCTAACTAATGCCGGGTTAGTCAATATTTTATGAAGTCGATGCTCCTCTCCTATTGGTCATACTAAATCTACCTGTGTGTGATACCAAATATTCTTCATAGTTTTCCCGAATACTGCATTGTTCATTAATTTCCATAGATCTCTTTCAAATACATTTTTTGTATCACGATGCTATATAGTATTTGCTATAATATATGGTTCGAGCTAGGGAGATTGGTCAAACTCTAATACATGGTATATATGCTCAAGTTTTATTCCTAGTTCAAAACACTGTTGAAGATTTTAGTAATGAATAATATAGCAATCTTTAGTCTCTAAAGTTGCTACCAATTTTTCTGTTTTTGCAAATTTTTCACTGCTCAGTTTATCAATTAGGTTATTATTTTGGTATGGAGTAAGCTTATTTCGCTTAACTATCTGATATTCTGAGCAGAGTAGATAGTCACTATGTGATAGGTGAAGATTTTCTGAATATCTTAATTTTACTTTTCAAGCACTACCTCATTTTGCAGTTGGTAAAATAGAATGTATATCGGGCAAGTTGTTTATATCAAGCCATTTAAATTTTCCTGTTAGCAAATATTGAGACATAGCTCATCTATATAAATTATTAGCATCTAGATAAAGAAGCCATTTGTTGGCTTTTCACTTATTATAACCTTTCATTTCTGGAAAATTGGCTTTTGCTATACAACCTGGCACCATAGAATTTCTACTTCACATCCAATGTTGAACAAACTCATGCATATCCTCCTGCCTCTTATAGAATAATTCAAGCTTAATCTTAGTTATTTTTTTTGCTATTCAAATATGAATGATGGCAACATTATATAGTTCAAAGGGTCTAGTTCAGATACTTCTTTTATTGTTATTCGAAAATATTGATTGAGTCTGCTAATATTAAAATATCAGTTCTGAGATTTAAATCATAATAGTCCCCAAATATTTTATATTCTGCTTCCTTTCATACTTTCTGTGCATAGTTATATTGCTTTTGACTAATGATGTAAATTTTTTTGTATTCACAATTATCAGTTTCTTTAAAATCCTCTTTTTTATATTTTCTATTACACTTTTTACTTTTATTTTGTGTTTACACTTTTTACACCCTTGGTTACAATAATTTAGCCTGCTTAACACTGTGTTAAATTCCTTTCTTGATGGAAGTTCTATCCTAGAGAAGCACTCTAGATCATTCAATTCATATGAGTACTCACTTTTTTGTGTAAGTAATAGGAGCAAATGCTGGAGTATGCTTTGTGCCATAATTGGAAAATATTTAGCCAATTGCTCTAAAGTTCTTTCTTGGCCATGCAAATTACTTGCTAATTTTTCTAATGATGGGAACTGGAATTGACAGGAGTTTATGAATTTTATCTGGCCAATTACTATTGTTTTATAGTTCTCCTGATTGTTCACAATTATTTCAATTTTGTTTTCACTAACTAGATCTAATTTTTATATTTCATGATTAAAGTCATAATGCTTCCCACCATGATATATTAATAGGATTTTGATTTTATCTGGCTTTATTTGGAGCTTTAGATTACAGCCACGATGCGCTGGGCCATGATATTTTCCAGTAAAATGATCATAATCTCTAACCCTGTTGTCATTTATGTTAGCTTGAAGTTTCATTTTACATAAATAGCATTCGGATACTGTTTTGAATATATTTTTCTCTTCTATACTCAAACCTTCTATATGATATAAAGCTTCTATTAGGTTTTCTTTTATAGCTTCACACTTGATTTTAACACAACTATGATATATACCGCCTATGAATTTTCTGGTTGAATCGAAATATTTTACTTTAATATAATAGGTTTCATGTAGTATTTCTTCACATATGTAGCATCTTATAGCAAAGTTATGTGTTTGCCAATCACACTTTGTCATTTTTATTTTTTCTAGATTGCGCAACTTTGGCTTAATAATTTCTTCCAAGTCATGCTACATACTTTCCCATGACTTTGCAATTGAGTTCAGAGTTCATTTAACAATTTTTTTTGCAAGCTTCCTATCTGTTTGGATTAATGTATAACTATAACTATTAGACTTTTGCTTCTGTAGTTTAATGGTTTTTTCATTGATAATATTATTCTCTACTAGATCACTATCTGCTTTGAGATCTTTGACAAAATAAAATAGTATATTTTTCATTGCCTTATAATTTTTGAATTTCATAATATGCTTACCTTTTTTCAGGAAGATTTCTCTTTGCTCTGTATTAGAATTATTTCATCCATAACAATTGTGCTCTATATGTTCTTGAAACAAATCTAATCTTGAGAATAGAGCTATTATACAATGATGGCAGAAGTATTTTTGCCCATGAAACTTATTCCAAGTTCGCATGATCTGATTTCAACCATTTTTGCTATTGATAAGACAATAGTGTGTGTTTAATCCTAGAGAGATTTCATTAATATTTTGGTGATTCCTCAAATCTTCCTCCCCTTTGGTAAATAATATTAAATTCACTATATGTTTTCTTTGATAGTTATATTCTGATATGCGAAGTGGATCTATCTTTCTAGTTGCTTGCTCTTTGTCATTTTTGGATGGTGCTAGATAGAAAACATTTATTGAATTAGATGGATTGTTTTCTTCGAACTTATCAATATCATGCAATATAGCAGAAAAATCTATACTGGAGAAGTCTAGTATGTTATTAAAATGCTGTAATCTACTAATATCATGAAGATTTCTTGCTTTTCAGCCCTGTCTACGAGCCTCTTCGCTTGCTAGATAAGCTTTCATATATGCTTCAAAATATCAATCATCTGTATTTTGTAGGTTAATTATTTCTAGTTGAGGCTTGGCCCATATTTTTAGCAAAGCGAAATGAGAACTATCTCGAAGTAGTTAATATGCACTTATTTCTAGAAAGATCTTTTTTCCATAATTATAAATGCAGCCCGAATATTAATTACATTCCATTTCATCGATTTTATCCAAAATTTCATTATATTGTCATAAGACTGTTTGATCTATTTGATCCTGGCGAATAATATCCAAAATTTCACTTAGAAATGCTATATCTTGATCTATTCAATGTTCAAAATATCCTCCTTGTACAATCTGATACATATGAGCAATAAGAACGATTTTTATTTTAATACCCCCTAATTGAGCTAATTTTTTTCTATAAATATCACTAATTTGGTCTTCAATATCCTCGAACATGGCTAAGGAATCTTCTTGATATGGATAAGTTTCTGAAATAATAGCTAGATGATCAATATATAAACCTTGATCAGAAATTCTTCTAGTTTCTACTAACCTTTTCAGAGCTGGATCTTCTATTCTTCGAAATATTATTTTGTCTTCTTTTTCAGATTTAAACCTATTATCAGATTCAGATTCAGAATTTGATGTATTATCAGTGGTCTTATAGTTGTTTTTTTCTTCCTCTTCTGACTCTGGCTCTTCTTCTGGTGCTGGTGGCTCAAAAGGTTTAAGTAACTTGGGTGGCACCGGGTCTCTTCAGCTTGGCAAGATGTTTCTAAATAATCATCCTAATATGCTGGTGATACTACCAAGTAATCCACTCATATTTTTCTCAAATATTATATAGTGTTAGAAAAAAGTTTAAAATAAAAATTATTTTATTTGGATAATTAGTGTTAGTCATTTATTTAAAAAAGAAATTATAGGAGGTGAAAAAAAGGTAATACCCTAGAATTTTTATAATTGTTCATATATTCTTAGGACTGAAGAAATGTGCAATTGGAGATGCTATGATTTAAAAAATATAAAGTTTATCGGAATTCACCTAAACAATATCCATATATAGAACCTAGATGTAATAAAAAAACTTTTTCTGAATATAGTGCTTATAAAAAACATTCAGGCAAGCATCGTTCTAAAGCATTTTATTAATGTTAGAAGCTTGCAAAAATTCAGCCTAATAACTGAAAATGTTTTGATAGTTTTGAGGATGATCTGAGAATATATTTGTTTGGAGAATAGTCTGGAGATGGATCTAGAACCCAATATGTATGTATTTATATTACTTGATTTTTTTATATTTTGCTTATAATTTGGTTACTAGTTGCTTGCACCTTCAGTACTCTGCAACATCGGCATTTATATTTGCTTTATAGTTTGGTTACCAGTTGCTTCACATCTTTGGTGCTTCGCAACATTAGTATTCATATTTGCTTTATAATACACCTCCTCATGCTTGTTCTTCCAGCAAGTGCTACTATTATAGTATGTGAATTGGGAGGCTATAAAAGAATATATATTAATACTATAGAGAGGCAAATTGCTTATATTGAATGCAAAAATTTATATTATCCAGGATGTAAAACAAATAGGTTTCAGACTTGTTTGTGCCAAAGTGAAAATTTATTTTGATATATAGGAAGTAAGCATTTACAGAGTGTATAACAATTAAGAAAATAAATTGATTTCCTTAAAATTACATATATATTTACAGTAGGTTTATAGTATATAATTTTTTTTGATACCTAGGATAATCTTCTGAACCTATTTAGATGCAATATACCAAAAGGCCTATTTTCTACTACTAATACAAAATAAAAATCTTAACAAGTTATATAAATCTATTTTAATATCTTCTAAGTTTAATAAATTAGTTTCAAAATTTTAATTAATTGTAACAATATCTAAAAGTTCTAAATCTAGCTTAATTTTAAATAAAAATTTTGTCATTTTTTTGAATAACTTAGTATTTTAAAACTATATAGTAATAAAGTTTTTTACTTTATCTATAGAGTATAAAAGTGCATTTTTATTATTATCTAATTTATTATTAAGTATAGTAGTAATATATTCTATTTCTTTTATTTGTGTTGTGTTTGCAGATTTATTATCAAAAAAACTAATTTTTTTTTTTTAGTATTAAGATAATCTTTTTAGCTATAGAAAACTTTTTATTAGTAATTATTTGCTATTATAGATACAACTAGCCATCTTTTGAGTATCTATTTAAATAGTCTGTCTATAGGTTCTATACTAGATATTATACTTATAATCTAACTAAAAAGTTACCTATTTAAATCTAACTATTTTTAAATATATTATACTAATCTGAGAACTACTATTAGCCTATTCCACTAGATTGTATACTCTGTCTTAAAACTTCTTACAACTTATTCTAAGTTTGTACCAACTAATTACTGGCTTGTATTCTTCTATTAAGCAGATATAAAAGCTATTCTCGAGATAAACCTACCAAAGCTTTTCTTATTTTATTTGAGCCAACTTGGTTTTGTGCAGTTGCCAAGACTCCTACTTACAGTTAGAATTATTTTTATTTAACCACTTTTGCACTTATAAGATTTACTTCTAATCCTAATATCTATATTCAGACTTTTTTTTTTTTTATTATTTTCTTATTAGTCTATCTCTTACTTCTAACCAATAATCTGAAAGATTTAATCTTGGCTTGGCTTTAGATATCAATACTCTTATCTTATCTTGATACATAATTTCCTAGTATATGTTCTTTTTTTTCAATTTAGCAGACTGGTCTTTTAAACATGTTTGGCATTTTTTCTTCAGCTACCTAACTTTTATAGCTTCTGGTCTTGGTAGATAGGGCTCTCACCACTGGTTTCACATGCTGATTGGCCAGAGTTGGTATACTCTATAATGTCTCACAAATTTTTAACTTCCTAAATTGGTGCTAGGTTGGTAAATCTCCCACTAAAGGATCTTGTTGTTGTTTGGTTCTCCAATCTCAGTCCTAACTTTTAAATTTAAGTTTTTTCTGTAGTACTATTAAAGATCATAGCTACTCCTTACTTAGGTCTTCTCAAACAAGTTTTAATTATTCTAGCTTTTTAGCTTTTTATATACTGAAGCTCCTATATAAATATAGTGTTACCAAGATTATAGATTTTAGAACCCAACTGATTAACAAATAATTGTTATTATAATACAAGTCTATTTTTTAAAAATATTGTCTGTGAGATTCAAATTTTAAACCTGCTGCATGGTGGAGTAATGACTAGACCACTTCACTAAGCTACCATACCCTAAAAACTAATTTCTTGTATTAGCTCAAAATTATTATAACCTTTGGTTTTATTATTAGCTTAAAAAATATTTAAGATATTGCTAGCTTGAGAAGTTAAAATGCTAGCAGTTAGAACTATTAAGTTAAAATTATAATTTGTTTTTGCTTTTTTTTGAAGTTGGAATTTTTTCTTGTTTTTTTTGACTATAATTTACAAAATATATATTATAGATTAAATGCTTATACTATAAATTATTATTATGAGAATAGCAAAAATTTTGCTTTTTCTTTTTTATATAACAATAATTATATATTTTTTTTAATTTAGGATTTAAGTAAAAGCTATTAAATTACTTATTTTATTTTAATAAAAATATTGTTTAAATAGAATAATTAAACAAGTATTAATTGTTTAGATTTTGTAATTCAAATTGAATTTTAAAAATCAAAGATACTACTTAAATATATTTTTAATTTATATTTTTTGCTATAATTCATAATTATATTTTTTTTAATTTTTTATTTTATAGCTTAAAAATATTTATATTTTTTAGCTAACTTTAATTATTATACTTTTTAGCTAACTTTGAGCTTTGAGCATATACAATATACAAATAAAAAATAGATAAATATATATATATATAACCAATCTATAGCTTTGAATATTTATATTTATAAATATGCATATATGTACCTAAATTTTTGAATTATATCTGACTATAGACATAATTTAAATCTATTATAGTTATTTAAAATATTTAACTAATATATACAAAGTCTAATTTTAGAGTTAATTTTAGTAAATACAAATTTAATTGCTTTAACACAGGTTGAAATCAATATATCTTATATCTATTCTATACTTATTTGATACAAAATATTTAAGTAATGTGTAGGATATCTTATACATATTTGTATACTAACTATATATATCCTGTATATATTCTATATATATTCTACAAAGTGTAAGATATGTATAAAATATATATATTATATATAGTATATTCTACATTATCTTTATATATCTGCTATCTAATATATATAGCTTAAATATAGAATATATTAAATTTTGACCTGTGTAAGTTGCAACTTTAAAAGCATTATAATTTACATTCTACTTTTACAAATATAGAGTTTTAAAATTAACTTTTTTTAAAATAAATAAAATTTAAAAGATTTATCTTCTTTTTTAGAATTTTGAATTAAAAAAACTAATTGTATATAGCTAGTGATAAAATTAGCTTTTTTGATAAATATTTACTAGTAAGTAGTAAATTTTTCTTTGAACTTTAAACAAGAATTTAGTAACAACAAGCTATTTAAATTTGATAAAAAATATTTTATTTTAATTTTATGAGGTTATAAAATTAAAATAAAAAAAAAATTGTTCAAATTTAAATAGCAAACTGTTAAAAAAATATAGAGATCCAATCCAGATAAATCCATTATCTATTTATCTATATCTGAATTTATCTGGATATCTATTTACTATTGGTATCTAGGTAATCTGACAAATATTTAGATAATTATTTGAATATCAATAGTAAAATAGATATCTGAATAAATTCAGATCTAGATATCTAATAGATAAATAGATAAACAAATAATAGATAGAAACTCTAAAAAAATATTTATTAATAGTTAAAAAAAAAATTAGCTATAGCTTCTTTTTTTAAAATATCCAACTTTGAATAAAGATTACTTGGTACTTGCCTAGTCAAATTCAATCAAATTTTTATTTTTATTTTTTTTTTTAATATTAAAGATGAGATCTTGCTCTTATCTTTATTAAATTTAACAAAAACTTCTTACATAGTCAGAAAAAGTTTAACTCTTAAATCTAAACTAAGAAAAAATCTCAAACATATATTTAAATAAATTTAAATACTTATCTGTGGCCTAAACTAACCAGAGTGGCCAAGGCTTATTTAGATTTGGAAGTATATAAAGATAATAGAGGGATATAGAAAAAATTTGATCTAATTTAAGTACTATATCTTGACTTTGCAGAGAGTATTGGATATAAAAGAATTAAAGAAGTTTTTAGAAAAGAAAATTGAGTTTAGATTAGATAAAAAAAAAGAATTAGAAGCAGTACTATTAATAATTGGAATAAGGTTTGATTGTGATCTTGAAATGCAATAGAGAATCTAGATATTTGTATAAATTTATTGATTTAAATAGAGTAAAAATTAGATAATAAAAGAGCAAGAAGTTTTGTTAAAAGAAATATATTTATATAATAAATTAATGATATCAAGTGAAACCAGACCAGAGAGTGTAAAAAACAGAGATGGTTTAAATATAAAAAAGTAAATTTGTAAGCTATTAAGGTTTTTAATTTGGTTAAAAAGTGAGATATTTGGGTTCATAAAATTTAAAGTTTACTAGAGATTAAAATATACTATAAAAAGATATTAAGCAGAGTTAGAAAAGACTCTAGAGAGAGGCAAGTAGTTTAATAAAGTGTATATATAGGTTGTTAGTAGTAGTAACAAGAGTTGGGATATAAAGGATATCTCTTGTAAAGAATATATAGAAATAGAAGATCATCAAGTATAGTCAGACCTCTCTAAGTGCATCCTCTATAAATACACACACTCTCTAAATATATATTTAAGTACTGGCCCAAATATATACTTGACCTCCATAAATGCACTTTTTCTTATTAATCTCTATATACATGTTTTTAAAGTATGATCGCAAGAGCATGTACTTAGAGAAGTCTAACTATAGTAATTTAACTTTAAATATTTTAAGTGTAGATAATTAAAAGCTATAAGAGAAGTTTGAAACTTTCTAATTATTATTAAGATAAAGCCAAGTAGTGTTTTAATGAATGTTTTGTAAAAGGCTAGATCATTGTAAAACAGTATTAAGAAGACTATTATGCAAAAATATTTATATTACAAATAGTTTTAATACTGCAACAAATAAGAAGCTTCAAAGAATAATTGTTAAAAGTTAAAATAAAAAATAGATTATAAATATTATGAGAGTTAAGAGTAAGAAGTAGTATATTGAAGTAGTTATAAGCAAGTTTATTAGCTTTGTTATTAAATTTATTATTCTGGTATGCAAGAACTTTATAAAAAATAAG